ATACGAAGTATCTCCAGTCACCGCGTTCGCGCCTTGTAACCCACGTCACTGTTGACAGTTATAATTTCGGGAAAGTGGAGAATTTCATTTACTAGGGAACCAGCACTATCACCGATAAAAATATCAACATGGAAAACCCACGCAGAATCACTGTTGCCAACAAGTGCAACTTTGGACTGAGTAGGCAATTCGGGAGTAAAGTCCTTTCCCACATACAAAAACCGCAGCCCAGAAATCACTCATCATGCCCTAGCTGTTATACGGCGCAGAAGCTTAGACAATCACAACATTCGATGAGACGTCTCTTGGAGTATTCGAGAGAAAGATCTTACGGAAGATATACAGGCTTCTGCGCGTGGGCGACGGGGATTACCGTAGACGATGGAACCATGAGTTGTATGAGATTTACAACGAAATGTACATAGTGCAGGGAATGAAAATGCAGCTTCTCCGCTGGCTTATACATGTTTTTCCAATAGGAACCGAAATTCCAGGTGTGAAAGAATTCCACTCGACTGGCGTTCTTTGTCGAGCTTGGCCAAAATGGCTTAGGTGGTTACAAAGCCAAAGTAGAAGAAGAATATGCAAATGATAGATGACAGAGTTGGGGGACCTTCTTGGATTCGCCAGGAGGTACTAGGAAAATATTCCCTATCAGATGGATTCTGGCAACGGTTCGATCAAAAAATTGCATTACCTTCGTCGCTATCGCTTCGTCTGGAATTGCTGCGACATTGTTACCAGGTGAGCTGGCATTGAACATATAAATCATCGAAACTCCCACGTAAAATATTTCCAGAGCAACCGGCATAGAAAAAGTATTACAAAAATTTAATTTCATTGTTTGGGATGAGTGCACCATGGCACATAAAAAATCGCTTGAGCTCTTTGTTCAATTGTTGCGAGGTTTGCGTGGAAACGTTCAACCATTCGAAAATGCATTGATATTGGTCGCAGGAGACTTTATGCAAACATTGTCTGTAGTTTCTCGATTAAGGAGAACTGATCGAAAGAATGTTTCTTTATTAGAAAATTAATTACAGGAATCACGATTGGCTCAGTTAACGGGCTATTATTGCTGCGAATAATAAGGATATCTATCAACTAAATAATAGTGGTATTGAAAACAGTCGTTGCTTGAGCTGATCAGCTCTTTTACCAGACTGCCAGGCCACTTGCTCACTTTGGTGAATACCACTAATGTTATTCAATCCAGCATTCAACGTGAGGAAATAGCATATACGTCGATAAACACCGTTATGGAAAAAGTCCATCCAACGAAATTTTTGAACTCGATTGATCTTCCAGGGAGACCCCACATACTGAAATTGAAAATAGGTGTGCCAACTATCATGCTGCGGAATATTAATCAGCCAAATCTTTGCAACGGCACGCGACTCGCACTTAAGAAATTGATGAAGAAAGTAGTGTAAAGATTTTAACGTGGCCTTTCAAAGGTGAAGAATTCCCATGATTCCGACCGATACACCATTTCAATTTAAAAGATGGCAACTCCCAATTCGATTGACATTCGGAATCACAATCAATAATGCTCCAGGTCGAACTTTGGATGTTGCGTGTTCCTGTGTCGGCAAACCAGATATCCTTGATATCTATGCAGCCAATGGAAAAACAACAAATATAATAATATATCATCCATATAACAGGAATATGCCACAGCAAAGCGTGGCAGGTTACAGCTAGTTGTTAATAAATAAAAAAAATATCCACTTTGCGCAAAGCCTGCGTCCATTCCTTAAGACCTTTGTTACCCTCCTTCTGCGAGAAATCGCAGCGTTGCTTCCAGCTTCAACACTTCGGGAATGGAACTTTTGCTCATAAGGCGGCAATTCACCCAAAATCATAGGGAACGCTGGTGCCACAAGGCGCTCACTGCGGTCGTTGTTGTTTATTAATGACTTACCTCAACAATTTAAATTCGCTAAATGCTTAATGTTTGCAGACGATGTTAAACTGTTTTAAACATTCCGTAATATTTTTGACTGCATGAACTTACAATCTGACCTTGGTTCTTTTACCGGATGGTACACCAACAATAACTTATTTTTGAATACGAATAAATGTTGCGTTGTTCCTTATTCGAATAAGGAATCACCAGTCTTTTAAACTATCAACCAAATCCTCACCCTTTAAACCGTTCTTATGAGATTAAAGATCTGGGTGTAACTTTTGACTCCAAACTCTCTTCCTCTAGTCACATAGACTTTATTGTTTCAAAATCTTTCGCAATTATTGGTTTTATTGGAGACTTTAAGGCCCAATTTCAGATGGCCTATTTAAGTAGAGATTAATTAACTTCAAAAATTCATTTTCAGATCATACATTTAATCTGCACTTAAATGGTCAATATTAATTAATTCAGAAATGAATTTTTACTTAAAAACCAATATAATTAGTTAATAAAATAATGTAAAAAATCTATATTTTTTAAAAACAACCCTGCAGAAAAAAATTATCAATTGATAAAAAATAACCTACTTGTAGTTAGCTTTTTTGCGGGATTTCTATAAAATATGTAACTTGTAGTCAGCTACAAAAAGCTAACTTGAAACAAGTGGACAAGTAATGCAGGAGCTTGTTTTCTTTAAACGCGTTTCTATATAAATATCCTGCACTTCGCAAATACTTTTTCGAATTGAGGACAAATAAAAGGAAGATCCAAATTTCATACTATCATTTTGAAGTTACCCTGCAGAAAAAATTATCAATTGATAAAAAATAACCCACTTGTAGCTAGCATTTTTGCGGGATTTCTATAAAATATATAACTTGTAGTTGGCTACAAAAAGCTAACTTGAAACAAGTGGACAAGTAATGCAAGTGTAATGAAGGAGATTGTTTTCTTTAAACGCGTTTCTATTTAAATATCCTGCACTTCGCAAATACTTTTTCGAATTGAGGACAAATAAAAGGAAGATCGAAGTTTCATATTATCATTTTGAAGTTATGTCTGACGGAGTGGAATATGGGACCACCTGCAGCAGAATATGAAAACAAATATGAAATGTAATAAAATAAAAAAAATAAAAAAAAATTAAAAATAAAAAAAAATAAAAAATATTTTGTTTTTCCTATTGATATTTTATGTCCAAAAGTAGTTAATTACAAGTTAGTTACATCAAATGCAGAGGTAACTACCCTTGACTATTTCACGGCCATCGCCATAGAAATATAGTTAGCTTTCGTCAAAGAAAATATACAGATAATAAGTGACTTTTAGCTCCTTCCTAATCAACTTAAAGTTAGCTTATAGTTAGATTCATTTTCTGCAGGGTATGTCTGACAAACAAATATGAAATGTGATAAAATAAATAAAGTAATAAATAAAAAAATTAAAAAAAAAATAAAAAAAAATATTTTGTTTTTCCTATTGATATTTTACGCCCAAAAGTAGTTAGTTACAAGCTAGTTACATCAAATGCCGAGGTAACCACCCTCGACTACATCTAATGCAGAGGTAACCCCCCTTGACTATTTCGCGGTCATCGCCATAGAAATAACTATAGTAACCCTGCAGGGAGTGACGTTAGCTTATACCTAACTTTAGTCTGTTTACGCGAACACTAGTGCTAACTATTAACTGTGTATTTTGTTCGAAAAAAGCTAACTACTTTTGTGGGGCGATGGCCGCAAAAAAGTCAGACCTGGATACCTCTGCATTACATGTCAACTAACTTGTAACTAACTACTTTTGGACATAAAATATCAATAAGAAGACCCAAATATTTTTTTGTTTTTTTACGTTTTTATTTTCTTATTTATTTACTTTATTTTATTACATTTCATATTTGTTTACATATTCTGCTCTGGGTAGCCCCATATTCGAACACCGTCAGACATAACTTCAAAATGATAGTATAAAATTTCGATCTTCCTTTTATTTGTCCTGAATATGAAAAAGAATCTGCGAAGTTCAGAAAAAAAGTGTATTGAAAGTAATTTTTGTATGAGGATATTTAATAGAAACTTGTAAAGAAAACCAACTTCCGATTGCGTCTGCATGACTCCTGCCCGACTTTACAATTCACTTTAACCCTAGGAGGTTCAACCAGGTCTGTGCAGACCTTTTGCACATAAACGTGTGTATAACTTTTTAGTTTTGCGTGCTAGAGACGAATCCTTCCATGACTTCCTAGAAGCGGCTACGGCGAACACAATAAGCATAAAATCAGACCTCTTTTGTGTTTGTGTTGGGTTTTATTAGTGTTTGCAAACGTAATGGCTCAAACGGACCAAACAGGTCTGTGCAGACCTATGTGTGGCATGAATGCTGGAGCAGGCGTTTTAAAAATGTTTTGACCACGGACATAACAGTTATAAGTTTTATCGCAAAAACCTTGCCCCATAACAGTTATTAGATGAGAAAATTTTTTTATTTCGCCGATAAGAGTTATAACCCAACGTTTATATTTTACCTTGCCTGATAACTGTTATGCCGGAGAAATATTTTTTCCGTTGCTCATAAGAGTTATTTCGCAACACTTATTTTTTACATTGCTTGAAGAGAGTTTTTTCACTATCTCACTTTTGTTTTCATCATATTTACCTTCCACTTCATCTCCATCTTCATAGATATCGTTAACTTATAACACTTATCAGACAAAGTAAAAAATAAAAGCTGGAAAATAACTGTTATCAAGCAACGTAAAAAATAAACGCTGTATTATAACTCTTACCGGCGAAATAAATAATATTTCTCATCTAATAGCTGTTATGAAACCGTTTCGATTTGAAAATTAAAAATATTAGTTTTTTTGGTGGTGCCTGTAAAACTTTATATAGAACGTTCAGATTGAATTGAGCGCATGCAACGTGTATAGCAGCAGCGTTTGTAGTGTAAACATCTGTGAGTTTTTATTGAAACGAGTGAAGCTGTAGTGCAAACACCTGTACGTTTTTATTGAAGTGAATTTATTTTGGGGTTTTCCACAAAAATATAAGGTAAGTGTAATTTTTTCTGTTTGTTTACATATAGAAAAATGGCTTCAGCATCCAGTATCGATGATGATATGATGGACGTGGTGAATCGCACCACAAGATATCAAAATTTATCGGAAGAAGAGAGGAGGCAAATGGAAGAAAGGTTAGCAATATGGTTGGCCGGTGCTGATGGAGAAGCCGAGGAAATCAATGCATTCGAAGGCGACGACGTCACGGATCCTGATTATGTGCCGACGTTAGAAGATGCGGCTTCCGATGCTGAGACTGAGACCGTTATAGAAACCGAGACTCCATATGACGATGATGAGGATTTGGAATATTTATATGAAGGCGCTGCAGCTGCACCCGAAGCGCTTGAAGCCGTCGATATGGACGAGGAGCCTCGTTCGGCGAGCTCGATTATTAAATACCGTTCAAAGGATGGCAAGCTTTGGTCAAGCGCTCCGCCGTGCACAGGTAGACTTCGTGCGCATAACTGCGCTATTGTGGGTCGCGAAGGCCCGGCTCCAGGGATTATGCGATCCCCGGTTTCAATATTTAAATCGATAATAACACCGGAAATCGTTAGTATAATTGTGCGTGAAACGAACCGAAAGGCCCAGGAACTATGCCGCCTGTGGTGTGCCAAGAATCCTGACCAGACACCGCGAACGTGGACGAAACCTGTAACCGAAAATGAAATATACGCCTTTTTTGGCCTAACTTTGTTTGCCGGCATATTCGGGTCAAACAGTCAGCCTGCTCTTGAGTTGTGGGGCAACAACGGAAACCCTATCTACAGGGCGACGATGTCTGCACACCGCTATAAAATTATTCTACAATATATTCGATTCGATAACGGCAACACGAGACCCGCTCGACTATTAGAAAGCAAATCGGCCGCCATTGACGACATTTGGAACATGCTCATGAGCAACTTGGAGCGTCTATATGTTCCGGGTGCCCAGATAACTATAGATGAGCAATTGTTCCCGTACCGAGGCCACACGCGTTTCACCCAGTATATTCCATCGAAACCAGCAAAATACGGAATTAAAGTCTGGTGGATGTGTGACGCCAATTCCAATTACCCACTGAAAGGAATAATATATGTTGGAAAACAGGCAAATGAAGCGCGTGCGGTAAATCAAGGCGAGAATGTTGTTCTTAAATTGGTCGAAAAATACGCCGGTTCTGGACGAACAATATATGCCGATAATTTCTTCTCGTCTTTTGATTTGGCCACGGCTTTGGTGACAAAACGGTTGGCATATGTAGGAACCATGCGCAAAAACAAAGCCTGCATACCGAAGGAGATGTTGGATCCAAAACGAGATGTATTCAGTACAGTATTCGGTTACCACAATAATAACATCGCACTATGCTCATACGTGCCAAAAAAGAAAAAAGTTGTGGTTCTCATCTCGACCGAACATTACAATTCCGCCGTCGACTCATCGAAGCCATCGAAGAAGCCATTTCAAATTCTGGACTACAATAAGTATAAATCCGGAGTGGACACCATGGATCAGATGGTTAGCGGTTACACGTGCAAACGGGGCACAAACCGGTGGCCGTTAGCTCTGTTCTATAACATGCTGGACGTGGCGGGCTTGGCTGCATTTGTCATTCATGACAAATTGGGGCATGTCAAGAGGACCGACCGAAGACGTGTATTCCTCATGGAATTGGCAGAACAGCTGGTGGTTCCTCACATGGAGCAAAGAGCAACGAATCCCATTGTACGAGGTATTCAACACGTCAAAGTGGCAATGGCGTTATTCGGTGTAGAGGTAAGCATTTCATATATGTATTCATTCATTGAATTCAAGTTCTAAAATCATTTGTTCAACGTTTTTTTCGCAGGTAGCTGCAGGCCCACCGATAGATGATCAACCAGTCCATGCCGTTTCCTCTGCAACTCGACCATCGTGCTCGCTCTGCTATAAATTGGATAAGAAGCAGCGAAAGACTAGATTTCATTGCATGTATTGCAAAAAACCAGTGTGTCAACAGCATTCACATGCCAAGTACGCGTGCGTTGAATGTCGTGCCTAACCTTTATTTTCTTACTTATGATAAATAAAATAGGGTATATTGTTACCTAGAAAATATAAAAATATGTTTTTATTGTTCATCCTGACTTTTTCCTAGCATTAAACACATTTACACAAACTTTTGGGACACCTGCCTGTGTTTTCCCATACAAATCTCATGTAGGTCTGTGCAGACCTAGTTGTACCAGTTGGCGCCAAAATATCCCTGAACCTCCAAGGGTTAAGTTGGTTTTGTCATAGCTAATTAAAAGTGAGGTATTAATCGAAATCTCGCGAAAAAGCTAACTATAAGTTGGTTAGTTTTAACAATTGATAATTTTTCACTGCAGGGAAGCTTTCGTCATAGAAAATATAGAGATAATAAGTGACTTATAGCTCCTTCCTAATCAACTTAAAGTTAGCTTATTGTTAGATGCATTTCCTGCAGGGAAGCTTTTATTTAAAATGTACAATCAAAGGATAAAATAAAGTAGTGTAACAAAAGATTTTTAGCAAGAAAATTTTGTGAAAACTGCACTAAAATTAGTAAAACAATATAAGTTAAGGTCTCGTTAAAGTTACTGAAAGCCACTTAGTGAAAGTTTGAGTAACTCCTTTCACTTTGTACACATTTGTACTAATTTACTTCGTTTTTAAAAAAGTTTGTCGCGCGGATCGCAAATCGGCATTTAAATATCTGCGTACATGCATATACATACCTAACCAATTATGCATGTACGCTGAATTTGCCGACAAGCTTTTTTAAAAACGAAGTAAATTAGTACAAATTTTTAGTAATTTTCATTAGAGTTTGAGTAACTCCTTTCACTAAATGGCTTTTAGTAACTTCATCGAGACCTTAACTTATTTTATTTCAATCATTTTAGTGCAGTTTTGACAAAATTTTCTTTCTAAAAAATCTTTTGTCACTCTACTTTATTTTATTCCTTTGATTATACATGTTAAATAAAAGCTTGTTTTTAAAAAATATATTTTTTTTACATCATTTTATCTTGAACTTTTTAGTTTTATTTTATATAACCAGGGCATACAATTTTATTAAGGGCTGACTCTCCATTTATGAGCGTAGTACATTTAATATAAGCGGCGTAAAGCCTTTCGATCATCTGTTTAGGCTGAGCAAAATACATTGAGTTCAGATAGCGAAAAAATGAGTTTCTAGGACAAACAGTCTACGGTTAGGCAATATGAACGCGCCCAATGTGTCACGAATTAGGAACATAATCAGAAACAAATCGGTGTGTTATGTAATTTAAGCATTCAAATCAAGTACAAACCACACACCCAGTAGGTGCTCTACAGAAATTCGTATAGAAATATCCCAAAGTTTACAGCTGATTTATTCAAACTAATTTCCGGTATTTTATCTTACCAAGGAATTCACAATAGAATCTATTATACCACTGCCTAGAACTATCCTACATAGTTGCGCCGGCAAATTACGCTCTGATATCACTAGCAGAAGTGAACACGTAAAGAAGCTGTTAAGCAGAGATCGCACGATTTGTAAATTTGTACAGATTTGTATATTATGGCAGTCACAGAGTGGTGTTGTCTAGAAATAATGAGCTTAGCTCAATAACAACTTTCAAACAACACCACTCTGTAACTGTTAAAATGTACAAATCTTGTGATCCCTGCTTTATAAGGCATTCACATTGAGCCACTAACTCGTGTTTATGGGCCATTTTGGAGTTTAAACTCGGAGTTTACCATACAACAAATTTCGTTAAACTCTCCTTAAACACCACTTTTATTTGGACTCTATGCGAATGCAACCCTTATTTTACCCGATTCGGTTTGTATCTTTGATAATCCAAACTTGCAACCAACTTGCTGACAGTTAGTCTGTTCCCGTACTGCAGGATTTAATCAGAATTAGTCCGAAGTCGTTCTGTGCACGTAAGTCTAGAATATCAACAATCTAGCGATGCAAAAACCAAAAATGTGGCTCGACAGAACTTTTTGTGCTGATTTCAACCCTACCAAAATTACCTGGCGAAATTAAAATATAAAAAAGATATCAATGGTTAATGTTAAATTTTCTGATTTTTTTTTAATATTAATATCTTCTGAACAACATAACCTATTAAAAAACTAATGACGTCAAAATAAAGATAATTAATTTTTCTTTCATGTATGTATATAATTTATATGCCTTTTTATATTTTTAGCCCAGAAATACTAAAAAACAAAATAAAATAAAAGTATATATTTTTAAATGTAGTTTATATAAAATTAGTTCTAAAACTGGTTATAGTATATACCTTGCATAAAAGGCATTTAAATTATGTTGAAACTAGCATCAATTTTTTAATCGGTTAACTAGTTTCCGAGATATTAAACACATAATAAATAGTTAAGTTGAACTTTAACCTCTTTTATTGGCTTTAGTTTTTATTTGCACCAAATAATTTTGGAATGGTTGAAATTAGCGTAAAAAGTTCTATCGATCCTTATTTCTTGTTTTTTTTTATAGCTAAACGGCTGGTATTCTAGACTTATGTGTGTGTGTGTTAACTCCTGTAGTACGGGAACAGACTAAATGAGAATAAGAAAAAGTAAACAAAAAATGTCAAATTAAACTCTGAGTTTCTTAAACACCCCAATGTGAACGCTTGACAGTTGTTCATAAACTCAAAACGTTAAACTCGAGTTAATGGCTCAATGAGAACGTAATATTAGATGAGGATAAACAGGGAGTTGCGAAAATGTTAAAATTTAAAGCTAAGTGCATAGTTTACATTTAGGTTGTATGTTTGTTGTGTATGTGGAGATTCTTGCAAATTATTTAGATCCCAGTAGAAATCTTAAGCATACAACATCGCTGTTGGTGGCATGAGCTTGCTGCTGTGTATACATGCCAGTATAAATGAACCTTCATTTCCATTTAACACGCGTGGTTTCTCAGAGCGTATGCGTACCTTAATCATACACTTGTACTACTGCTGTATGCATATGGCTGTATTAATGTTTCAAACACACAAAAATGCATTAATGGAACAGTATTAAAGCATTCTTACAAGATCGCCATATGTAAATGCTACTTTTCTGATACATTTTAATAGCACTTACATATGCAAATGCATATCTTGTAAAAGCCCGTTTGTGCTGAAAATAGTATCGCACAACACGTCCGTTCACTAAAATTTTTGTACAAGACTGAAAATATTACAAAAATTCCACTTCAAATTTATCAAGAAATGTACTTAAAACAACGACAATGTACATTCGCTTGCAATTCGATAGAATTTGAATTTATTCGTGGAAATTCATGACTACGCATGAATTGTCCACACTAATTCACTCATATAGCAAGCATCCTTCAAGAATGCATACAACCGATTTCTACTGGGATATTTGTACACACACATGTATACACGGCAGCAAGCTCATGCCACCAACAGCGATGTCGTATGCATAGAATTTCTACTGGGTATGTATGTAAGTCAACTACCCTGCAAAAAATTGTGCGACTAATCTCTAAAGAGAGTATTCCGAGATTACTCTCAATCGGGTACAATTAGGCATGAATTAGTCCCAACTAGTCTCATACGGGTACTAATGGAGGTCAATTAGTCTCGACTCATCCCTTGTGGGTATAATTGGCGATCAATTAGTCCCCAACTCATCTCTAACGGGTACTATTAACGATTTAATGATATGTACGCTCTTAGTCAATGAAATTTCATGTGCGGCGTTGGCACACAGGGAGAGTATTCGCCTAACAAAACTGACCACCCCGGTTCGAATCTCAGCTGGCGAAAATTTTTATTTTTATTTTTTAAAAGTGACTAGTCGCTTTTTATACCCTTTCGGGTATAAATGTGAACAATTAGTCTCTTCATAGGACATGCCCGAACAAAAGCGATCAGTTCATTCCATATAAAGAGATCAAAAGTGGTATTAGTCGCATGCTCCTTTGCGATTGCTCCCGGAGTCATCCCGGATTAGTCCCATTTTTTGCAGGGTACATACAAATGTATATATGTATATCCATACATGAGCAAACATACCATACGGAGTTATACCACGCGGTACCATACCGCTGCTGCTTGAGCAAACCTATATAATGAAAACGGCTCTTATAAAGATTTTATTTTGTTGCTTTAAATAGAAAAGTTCTTTATAAGTAAAGTCTATCTTAAACTGAAGCACTTTCATCTAAGCTAAGGGCCTGTTGTTGATTTTGTAATTTTAGCAAAATTCATTATAAACCATTTATGAGATTGAAAACGAAAAACATGGAGGGTATGCAATACAAAACATTAGATTTAATTGACAATAGTCAAACTACATAACATAGACCTAAAAGCTCAAACAGTCAACGACGTAACGTAGACGTAGGTTGACGCAGACACGATCTACCTTATGGGATTTGCGTGTTAACGAAAACTAACCACCGCATGGCGGTGACGTTGCCATTGCTTCTCTCTCTCTCTATCAACAGTAAATTTGATATGCTGCTACGTACGTCAACCTACGTTTACGCTACGTCGTTGACTAACTGAGCTTTAAGATTTCTACAGAAAAAGTGCAAATTTGAGATCAATTTTAAGCGGTCGTTATTCATATATCCACATTCATACATATATTACCCTTCATATCAATTCAGGTCTATTACATGCGCCCCAAGCTTTTAATTTTCAATCTCATAAATGGTTTATAATGACTTCTGCTAAAATTTCAAAATCAAAACTTATCTATACAAATTCTATGGGACTAAGAAATATTATTTTCTAATTGTTAGTCCATTTATAAAAGCGTTGTATATTAAAAAGTTTTCTTTTATTTTATTTATTTTCTACTTTTTAGTTTTGTCTGTAAAAAATTTTGCAATAGATATTAAAATAATTCAACTTGCAGTGAAAGAGAACAGCAGCCATGCAAGCAAAATGTTGTTTGCTCACGTTTAGTATAAACACATACATGTGTACATACATACATATAGCAGCAGTTAATTTCATTTAAAGAAATGGCGTGCCTTCCATTTCCGATGTA